CAAATATTCCAACGAACTGTCGAAATCTAGAATCTTCTATAGCCGATAATAACGGACAATGCGGTAGTATCATAGGATACGGCACTCACACCACTTTATTTCCCACGTGTATCGTTATACGATTTACACTAGGTAACATCACTTTTTTTCACATGTAGTATATTACCACCGAAGAAATGTTCACAGTTAGTAATCCTGAACTTCATAAAGTAATTAAGACGTCAGTCAGAGATATCACTACTTCACGAAACGTTCTGAGATTTAATGTTTTATTTTGACGCGGGAGAATATTTCACCATGTTACTGTTATGCCCGCTTGCCGCCAACTGGAAGTTGGATGCAGCCGGATATGCTAGATATTTTTGTAGCGGGAAAATGTTGCATCTTTGAAATAGCTATGTGATAAAGTATCGATGTAAAATATCAAACGATGTCTCTTATATTTAATAACGTCAATGATGCAAATATACATATATTTCTGTTGCGAAAAATTCCAAATTTCTATAATTAATTTATTAACTGAAATTATTAGCTATTCCATTATACTAATGGAAAGACAAACCATTAGTATCTTCGGCAATAGATCAAACACTCTATGCAATAATCACCAATAATGAATTAAATAACAATGAATTCATATCCAGACTTATATTAGAAGGCTCGCTGAGGCTGTGTCTTCACGATGCAGTTACAAAAGTTGATGAATTATTTATAGACGAACATTAAATCACAGATAAAAGCGAGTGATTTTGTTCGTGGTAAAAAGAAAATGAAACTACGATGGTTTTATATTTAGATACCTTTTATTCACTTTGGAAGTTTCACATATACACGTTAATTATTAACAACATAATTCTTTGGTTCTTTTTTTATATCTCTCAATTTATTTTTTATCCTTTCCTTCATTACTTGGAAAATATAAATATAAGACAGTCAATGAAAAATTCTACCTTCTATAACATAGTTATAATGTAAACAATAAACTAACTCTTTCTCTTTTTTTATAACTTCTAATTCTTCTTGAGTTTTTACTTCATCGTCACTTTCTCAATCGCTACTACGGTCTTCCTTCCTTTTTTTATTTACAAGTTCAGGGGTTTCAACAGCTGGTTGTGAACTTAATTTTGGATCAGTTAAATGATCATGAGCTAATTTGCCCTTATCGCGAAACTTTTTATTTAGTATCACAGATTCTTCTTTATCTTCCTCTGCTTCTTCACCAAATGATAAAAGATTGAAATATCTGTAACAAAATTTTTCATTGTAAAGAATAATACTATCAGGACTAAATTTTACAAACATATATGATTTTTACCTTACTGCTGCTGCTTTAGTTTTTGAACTGTCCTTTACTTCTTCACTTTCCTGTACTATTATTCTTGGTATAATATTAGAAAATGGATTGTTCAATATTATAGATTTTAACAATCTTGGAGGATAAAGTAGTCTATCATGTTACAAAAAAGTGGAAATATGATATTTATATCATTTCTTGACATATTTTCTTGTAAACATTAAATTTACTTTATCTACAAGTGCTTCTTCAAGTTCAAGCATGTTATATATAGTTTCTCCAGCAACCTTACAAAAGATTGTATGTTTACTCTGCAATTCTGATGTAGAACCAAGAGTAAAGAAGAATTGGAAAGTATTGTCATCTTTTTCAGCATTAGCCATAGCGATTAAACCTCGTCCACAGGAACATAATCTTGTACGATAATCGTCCTAAAACACATATATCCAATAATTATTTTTGAATAAAAAAGGAATTCATTTTATTTTTAAATGTAGTCTCTCCATATATTCTATTTAGTTTAAATGGTCCTCCATATATTTTACCATTTTCTCCTCTACCTGTGGCATCACCACTTTGTGTTATGAATCCTTTGATAATTCTATGAAATATAGTGTCATTCCAATAACCTTCCATACATAATTGTATGAAATTTCTACATGTCTTTGGACTTTCTTTTGCCGATGATTCTGACTCAATATCACCAACAGTTGTTTTCATTACAACCTGGTCATAACAATTAAATTATTTAATATATTAATATAGAAATTTAGGAAGTAAATATTGTATATCGGTTAAATTTTTAAAAACAGATATATAATACACTGAAATATTATTAACTAATACTTACTTCACCCATAGTGGTTGGCCCTTGTATATGAATATTACTCATGTTTGTAAGTCTCCTATAATAAAAAAAATCCTTCATCAATAATATTTCATGTGAAATCTTTAGTCATTTATAAATCAGTCAACCAAATGGAACTTCTCTCGAATAATCATTAGCAAGTAAGACGTATGGCCCAATCAATTCCATTTGCCACAACCCATTATTCCTGCTGCTTCTATAGTTTCCAAGTTCCTATAGATATTTCTACACATTTGTTGCCTTAATGCAACATTTACACTCCGTATTCAATTTATCTTTAACTTTTATAACTATTACCAAGTGTTCATTCTCCATCTTTTCAATGATCAACGATGTAGTTAAGGTAGCCATGACAGCAGAGTGATAGAAGACACGTGGCGCAAGTACTTGCTTGAGTGGTGCTGCCGTGCCTCGGCTGGCACAGAAAGGCTTGATGTGAAAAATTATAATTAATTTTAATGGATCTGTTAATATTAGCGATAATGTTGTTACAATTAGATTTTTCGAATTATATTATTTCCTATTTGTTTTTGATCCTACTTATAAGCATTATTGGTCTATTCAACGTAATTTAACAATATTTTATTACACTAATGTATAGATTACTTAGTCTGGTAACAATATCATTCATTAATCAAAATTTATCCTTACTTTAAAAACAGAATACGTTATACGTTATAATTAGATTCAATGCTCTGTCGGTAATGTTGCGAATGTTATGCAAATGGTAAGAGAGCTTTAGACCCTTCTATAATCAAGTCGAATAAAATCATACAATGCTATTGCATACCCTGTCAATTATTACATATTTTATTACATATTTATATATATTATTACATATTTTAATATGAAAAGACTATTTAATCATTATGAAACCATATAAAATAGATGTAAAAAGCTTTTTTACTCTTACTAGTCTGTATAATATGTGATAAAAAAACACCGATAGGGGCAAATGTAATAACTGTCATGCAAGATCGTTCGACTGTTACATTGAAGAAAGGAACGATATAACTGTTACAATAATGAAGCAGGGATAGTTGTGTTATCATAATTCTGATTAAACTTTCTAAATTTATCGACACTCGTGAAACATCCTTTTTCAAGTGTACATATTTGGAGAGTATGTTCGTTTTATATCATGTTGCTATAACGAATCTTACACTTAAAGACATAAAAAGCTATTGCGGAAATATTATCAAATTTTTGCGCAAAGGCTTACATTCAAATTACGAAATAATGTTCTAAAAGAAATAAATGATGTAAACATAACAAAATAGACATTTCTCCTACATTATCGTGAAAATAAATCAAAACATTTCTTCATTCACCACAACATAGCGTTTAATGTGTTACAATAAACGTGTAATCTATATTGATCTTTATATTCGATGCCGTTAACTAATTAACTAATAGGATTATGTTGTTCAAATATTCTAACGAGGTTATATCATCCAAAACTTTTTATTCTGAACTTTAATCTGCATAATTGTTTTTATCTATTTATTTATGTTTTGTTTAAATTGAAAAATATGATTATTGTTTATGATATCAATATAAATAAATATTATTTATTAACAATTAGGTTTGTATCAAGTATTAATTCTTAAGTACAATTCTACACGTGTTATTTACAAAACAAACTTTATTTTAAAAAAGTAATGTGTAAATATTCTCCAGTCATTACTTGCAGTATCTTCTTGTAATTTCTATAAACAAAAACTTTTCTTCTTCTTATACGTTCTACTGATAAATAGTTCTTTTCTCTTATAGTTACTTTAATTCAATACCAAATAATACGTACGTATATTCTAGCAATATCTTATATACAATATATATATATATTAACGTATACACACATATACATATCTAAGCGATAATCGACTCGTTTTTTCCCACGAAAGAGTGCAAAAAGCGTTTCTCGAATGACGAAGTCATGGCAGGAATTACGAAATTCAGAAGAGTCTGGGATAGATGGCGGTAACATAGGGGGAGGGGTAACTGTTCTCGAAACTATCCATATTCAAGCAACTGTCGTAATTAATTAAACAAATGAATGTGGCTGGCGGGCTTATCGAACATCAAAGACAAGAAATCGCGAGTAGGATGAATGGTAGTCCGCTGTTAAGCCGGCTACAGTAGTAATCCAGTGCAACGGCGAGCGGTATCGCGCGGAGAGACATGTCATCGGTCGAAACTCTCGTCCTTCTGGCGGTCGTTCTGTCAGGTAAACAAAGTCACGTGGGTCTTTCCGAAACGTTCGACAACTGACCACAGAGTGAACTGAACGTTGTTCTTGCGAATATAGAGTATCGTTATAGAAGCTTTGTAATAACAAACTTCGAAAAAGTTAATTTTTAATTTTTTGAGGTTGAGGTGACTGTGTGCCCGTTTTTACGATACATAACAGTATCTTATTTTTTCAACAAATTCTGTTTCCTCGTGGTTTTAGCGTACGCGTATCCACAAAACACACTGCTGAACGATGTGGAAACGGTCATCAAATCCGTGTTCAAGATTGCCCGTGAACCGGCGACGTTCAATTTATATACCAGGTATATAGAACTATAGAATGTTTTTGTTTGATGATTTAAAGGAAGTTTAAAGTTGCGACTGAGGTTAGGGAAGTCGAGTTCTTAAAATAGAATACACGATGACAAGTAATGTTTGATATTATTATCTACTTAAAAAGTGGAACTTAATAAGACATTTCCCGAAGGTCAATTCTGTTTTCTTTAAAAAAATTCCACTTAGAACCTTTATTTATATCCCATTTTCTAAATTAAAAATGAACTGTTATCGTTGATATTCTTGTGAAATTTACGTTTACGTCGTTTGCAAGATTTTTAGGTTTCGAAAACGAGTGAAAAAGATAAAGGAAGAATGAATCTGAATCGTACAAGAAAATTCGCGTTTCTCCTTGGCAACGCGCGGTTCATGCTGCGAATTTTTCGCCCGTGCAGAGGAGAGCTTTATCGTTCGTCGTTCGTAAACGATGCATCAATTTTTTAACGATACGTGCAATCAGCAAGTCGGCAAATTCTATTCTCAGCGCTGACGCTCCACTGACTATCATCGATGCGTGAATATCGTGGACGCGCCTCCTTTTCTTCTTCTTTTTGCACTGCTTTGACTTTTGCTGTTGATCGACCCGATCGGAAACGAGGGGAAAATTGAGGCGCCACTCGGCGACGCTTTCATGAAAATCAATCGAATCTTTAACACGGAGGAAAACGAAGTTTTGATTGTCGAACGAATCGAATATTGCAAACCGGGGTAAACAAGGTATTTTATTGCATTGAATTTGAATACGAAGTTATTACTAATTTCATGCAGTTGCAGAAATTTTCTTAACTAATGAATACATTTGATTACCGATATTAAAGTAAGTATGTAGGTAAATATGATCTTAAATGTGGTACCTCCTATAACTAATTGGAATTTAAGAAAAATTGTCAGTAAAAGTTATAAAAATTCTTTTATAGTCAGGAAAAGATAGAAAAATATGTCAAGGAAGATACAACATCGATTAATCTAAGACAAATCCTATGATATTAAAAGATTATAAGTAAAAATGCACTAATTTCGGAATATTTTATATTCAATTAGTTTTTAGCGCTTGAATTGTTATAAGGTCTTTGAATAATTCGAATATAATTAAAGATGTGCACTATAAATTAATACTGTTTTTCTTTTTTCAAAGGGAAAATCCATTTGGTGAGGAACAGCTGCTTTTAAACAACACCGAAGTTCTTTACGCATCTCACTTCAACGAAAGTCGTCCAACGAAGTTTATTATTCATGGATTTAGCGACACCGGAAACGAAGTCTGGGTACGAGGTTTGATAGACGGTACGTAAACATGGATTTCATGGATTCACCAATTAAAGGAGAATGAAGCAAAGCAGAAGTAAAGGAAGAAAAAACAACGAGAACAATATCACATAGAAATGAACACAACGGTGAAGCGATAGGAAAAGCAATTTCTAAGGAATTTCTAGAAATGTCGACAGTGTCGACAGCAAATCAGTGAAATTTAATTACAATCAGGGTCAATCCGTTTCGGTAAACACGGAATCGACGTCGCCAGGTTCAAGGGTCAGCACGATAACAAGTTAATTGATCACTTAACAAGTTTTTGCTCTCTTGTGCTAAACTCCTGACGTAACTGTAAGAAATTTCGATTTAGAACTTTTCTCGTGAAACAATTTTTCTTTTCAGTGCGATATGCTATAATATCGTCAAAATATTTTGGTTACTAGCATCATTGCCTTACCTTTCATCTTATTGCAAACCAGCACCATTAAAAATTGTATATTTTCGTTATTTTCCTAAAAATTGTACAATAAATTCATTTTGTCATGTTAGATTAGAAACTAGATCGATAACTCTCTTACTATCATGTGATAAAATTATCATTATTAATCGAATGAATTTAACAATAATTGTGTTTGTGTGATTACAGCGTATTTACTTCATGAAGATGTGAACGTGATAGTGGTTGGCTGGGGTGGCTTGGCAGCTGATGTTTATCAAGTGGCAGCAAATAACACGCGACGTGTGGGCGAATATCTCGGAGATTTTCTAGAATTTCTAAATCGCGAATCAAATCTTGAGTATAAGGATGTTCACATTAGTGGTCACAGCTTGGGTTCACACGTAGCCGGATTTGCTGGAGCTTATTTGGACGGACGTATTGGTAGAATAACGGGTACATTTCAATTAAATTGTAAATTGTATTTAAGTTAAATCTTATTATATCACAAATTTATATCTCTTGTTTGTGTTTTCTTTAACAACGCGAAGGCCTAGATCCAGCTAGTCCATTGTTCGAGACGATTTCCGGGATTGTTGATCCAGAATTCAGATTAGATCCAACCGATGCACAATTCGTGGATGTAATTCACACGAGTGGACCTGCATTTGGATTTTTAGCTCCACTTGGTCATGCCGATTTTTATCCTAACAACGGAAAGTTTCCACAGCCTGGATGCTCGTTTCTACCAACTATAAGTAAAAACTTTATTTTATTTAAATTAAACATTTAATGAAAATATCTACAAAATTGAATATCTAAATGTTGTACATTTGTTAGCTTATTGCAGCCACTCACGAGCGCATCAATTTATGACGGAGAGCATAGGCAGTACAGCTGGTTTCAAGGCAAGAGCTTGTGAGAGTTGGGAGAAGTATAAAGAGGGACGTTGCGATTATAATCCAGTTGTACTGATGGGAGAATACGCGTCCACTTCGTAAGATATTATCTTATTCTTTGTTTTTGTATCATGTATAGATTATTTCTTGTTTAGTCACAGAATGTAATTTCGTATTAATCGTTTCAGCTTACGAGGAAAGTTTTACTTAACAACGAACGGCGCGCCTCCGTTCGCGATAGAGTAAATGACGATGAGCACTAAACTTGGAACGACTCTCGGTGGTGGCGATCGTGTGTTTGCGACGTTAAAATGATCTGTACTAGTCATTTACAAGTTACTTTATTTATGCAGCGTGCGCAGTTTTATTCGAATTCTCTCGTTTTTTTTTTTTCTTTTACATAAATCGAACGAACGAGATCGAAGTTGGTAGTGAAGCGCTATCGTTTCATGTCGTGCATGAAAAGTACAAATTATATTAATTAAAATGGCACGTTCTGACAACACTTTCTCTCGTTCGCGTACTTTTGCAGAATGAAACGAAAATAAACGTTACATTGGTTACTTCGAAATTTGTGTACTTTGTCACTCGTCATATGAATATCATTATGATATCCAGAAATAACAACGGATCATAAACGTGGACGTTTATGAAGAATGTAAACGGTTGTTATATTAATAATTCAAGGTGGTTGCGATTAATAAATGTAGAAATACAATATTAACAAGATCATGGAATATTCATAAAGAATATCTGCGCAAGACCGATCGAATGTTACATTGAGAACGTTCCTTCGAGAGATAATTCTATACAATGAATCAAGCGTATTTCTTGTTGCTCTTAACGCTGCAATTAACGGCTATTTTGTGTGTTAATGAAAATAATATTATCCGTGATTACTTTGCGTTCAGAAAAGTAGAAAGGATTGTGGGATTCTCTTGCGATAATATTGAAAGTGCGTAGCGAATGTATTGTATAAATGTTATTTTAATTCGAATCATACAAGATGTTATTTTTATTCTGTAAAAAGCAGATAATTTTAAACTTGCAAAAACGTTTAACAATATGTACACCACGTATATTCCATTGTTGAACTCTACGGCTGAATCGCGATTAGATGTGAAGAAACTTTTAGGAGCAGAGTATCATCGGTTGGGTGTCTTCTTGGATTCTCGATGCAATCGTAAGCGGTACACTAGAATTCTCATGGACGTAAGTAATTTGCTTTTTTAAATTTTTATATTTTTTTCAAAATCAGTGTAAATGTAATTTAAGAACATAAATATCAATATTATTATATCACGTTTGACTTTATTTTCTCCTTAACTACATTTTCTTATATCAAACACTATAATTGTAGCCACTCACGAGCGCATCAATTTATGACGGAGAGCATAGGCAGTACAGCTGGTTTCAAGGCAAGAGCTTGTGAGAGTTGGGAGAAGTATAAAGAGGGACGTTGCGATTATAATCCAGTTGTACTGATGGGAGAATACGCGTCCACTTCGTAAGATATTATCTTATTCTTTGTTTTTGTATCATGTATAGATTATTTCTTGTTTAGTCACAGAATGTAATTTCGTATTAATCGTTTCAGCTTACGAGGAAAGTTTTACTTAACAACGAACGGCGCGCCTCCGTTCGCGATAGAGTAAATGACGATGAGCACTAAACTTGGAACGACTCTCGGTGGTGGCGATCGTGTGTTTGCGACGTTAAAATGATCTGTACTAGTCATTTACAAGTTACTTTATTTATGCAGCGTGCGCAGTTTTATTCGAATTCTCTCGTTTTTTTTTTTTCTTTTACATAAATCGAACGAACGAGATCGAAGTTGGTAGTGAAGCGCTATCGTTTCATGTCGTGCATGAAAAGTACAAATTATATTAATTAAAATGGCACGTTCTGACAACACTTTCTCTCGTTCGCGTACTTTTGCAGAATGAAACGAAAATAAACGTTACATTGGTTACTTCGAAATTTGTGTACTTTGTCACTCGTCATATGAATATCATTATGATATCCAGAAATAACAACGGATCATAAACGTGGACGTTTATGAAGAATGTAAACGGTTGTTATATTAATAATTCAAGGTGGTTGCGATTAATAAATGTAGAAATACAATATTAACAAGATCATGGAATATTCATAAAGAATATCTGCGCAAGACCGATCGAATGTTACATTGAGAACGTTCCTTCGAGAGATAATTCTATACAATGAATCAAGCGTATTTCTTGTTGCTCTTAACGCTGCAATTAACGGCTATTTTGTGTGTTAATGAAAATAATATTATCCGTGATTACTTTGCGTTCAGAAAAGTAGAAAGGATTGTGGGATTCTCTTGCGATAATATTGAAAGTGCGTAGCGAATGTATTGTATAAATGTTATTTTAATTCGAATCATACAAGATGTTATTTTTATTCTGTAAAAAGCAGATAATTTTAAACTTGCAAAAACGTTTAACAATATGTACACCACGTATATTCCATTGTTGAACTCTACGGCTGAATCGCGATTAGATGTGAAGAAACTTTTAGGAGCAGAGTATCATCGGTTGGGTGTCTTCTTGGATTCTCGATGCAATCGTAAGCGGTACACTAGAATTCTCATGGACGTAAGTAATTTGCTTTTTTAAATTTTTATATTTTTTTCAAAATCAGTGTAAATGTAATTTAAGAACATAAATATCAATATTATTATATCACGTTTGACTTTATTTTCTCCTTAACTACATTTTCTTATATCAAACACTATAATTGTAATATTTGATTTATTAAGCAATTTCTTAATTTTTATCATAATTTAAAAAATATTAGAATTAAATTTTTAATTTAATTAATGTTTATAAATTTATAATAATGTTTATGAATTTATGTAAATGTTTTTTTATATAAGTTGCATACTACCTATTGTATGTAGGCAACCAGATATTCTATGTATGATGAGATGCATAAGTGGTTAATTTTGGGCTCCAATTTGAGCCACGTAGTGGAAATACTAGACGATGGCGCGTTTACTACTTCTACTGATGTTATAATCGCTATACCATCAAAGAAGTATTATATTTTATACGATGTGTATAATTCCTGTAAAGATCGAGGAGGATCAATGAATATAACAGTTTTTGGAATGTGGAGCAGTAAAACAGGATTAAATGTTAGCTTACATCAATCAAAATTCGAGAGAAGATCAAATTTGCATGGAATGAAACTTAAAATTGGAATTGTTGTAAGTTGTCCTAATGTTTCTTGAATGAAAATTTTGTATGGTGCACATTTCAATACTCAGTAAGTGATAAATTAATGTATAAATTAAGGAAATGTATTCCGAAACTTGCAGGTCAGTTCTAAACCGGAAAATATGTCACTTCACGATATGATGCTTCAGTATAACACGAAATCGAAATATAGCCGAACGAAATATTTATACATACTCCTGCAACATATGTCAGACCTCTTCAATTTCACGTAAAAATTAATAAACATAAATAATTCATTAACATTACTAATAACAGAATTCTCGTTTGATCCTTTTAATTACATATTTTATATACTTTAAAATTAATTTGTTATTACTTTATACATAGAAAAACATTTGTGTTTATTCGATACATTTCGTGTCAACAGATATTTGAAGTGGAATAGAAAGAAAGAAGGATGGGAATAGATCTAAACTCATGCATTTCTTTTCATTTCTTATCATATATACTTTGTTGGAACGATATATTGAAGGACGCATTTCATTGTTTAATTGAAGTTTTGTTTTTAACTTCTATCATGAATCAGCAGTGACCCAGGCAGCACTGAATGTGTGAAAACCAAAAAGCTACAAACAATTATATTAATGATAATAATAATCATTGACAATGTCGTGATACTTACTTCTGACCCGCTTGATTTTTTCAGTGTTAATTACATAACGTATTAATTAATTGCTCTTTTTTGTGTTTATTTATATCCATCGAAATTAAAATGTCTTGTTATTCAAACGAACAACGAAGAATAAAAAGATTAGCTGTTGTTTATTGGCTGGTTTCTGCGTTACAGCACGGAGATTGTACAAATAAACGCGCAAAGAAGATTTGATCATTCTGGTCCTATTTTTGCGGCTTTTAAACGGAAACTCATAGATCTCTCGGCAAGCCCAGTTACGATGAAAGCCGACAGATTGAATAACGGAGACATAATTGGACCGGTTTGGCCAATACGGTACATTTTATCACTCTGTTTAAATTTTTACCGACTTTAAACCTATATTTTTATAAAATTTTATTATAAAAAATTCGTTTTCATTTGAAGAATTTTTTTCAGATATACTCCTTTTAAGTAAGAAATTCAGTTACTGAAGTATACGGATTTTAGATATTCAGTTTATTCGTATTTTATTGTTATAGGTCGTGTTTTATGTTTCGCACGATTTCGTCTACGAAAATTAAGTCAGGTCAATTTCTGAAACCTTTGTCTGCGAAAGTATGGTATGTGATACTTGGCCTAATAGGAATCGTGACGACAGTTTTAATTATCTTTCTAAGATTAGAGGGCATTCGAAATCCCACAGAGATTTATGGTCTTGCTGTTCTTCTCACGATAGGATCATTGTCGCAACAAGGTATCCAATTAAAGAAGAATTGCATATATATATAAAAAATTAGTGAAGAAAGTCGATAAATTTTTTAAAATTAATTTCATTCATCCAGGTTCTGCGTTTGTTCCAACGCGCTGCGCAGCTCGCATTGTGTTTCTTCACATCTTATTTTTTAGTTTATTAATACTTAATTATTATTCAGCGAGCGTAGTATCAAATCGTCTGAAAAACAAAGGCGAAAAGATGAACGACTCTTTGATTAATTTGGCGAAGAACAATATGGATCTTGCGGTAGAACCTACACCGTATATTCGTTCTTTTCTTCAGGTAGTAGCTTTTTCAGGTAGAAATAAAATTTAAGATAGACAGAGCATAATTCGTCACAAAAAGGCATAATTAAAATAAACTAATGTTTTTTAAAATGAAGATTCATTTTCAAAAATTTGATTTTCATAGATTCATTAAAATTCCATGTTTGTGTAATAGGTGCCAGACCGGGAGGTGAGATACTTTTACAACAATCGTTGGATGCATATACCAGAATCGCATAGATACTTGCCCTTAGAAGAGGGACTTAATCGTGTAGCAGAAGGTCGTTTGGCTTATCACACAATAATCGATTCCGCTTATCCGTATATTGAGCAGTCGTTCAATTATCGAAGCATTTGCGAGCTTACCGAGGTTCATTTATTCCGTGCTGTCCTCGCATTTTACGCAAGGCATCACAGCCCTTTTACTGAACTGATGAAAGTAGGGTACGAAAGTCGATATATAGATTGACCCATTGCACTGTTTCTGTATGTGGGCATATTTCGAAACGAGGTGACAAAATTAATTAAAAAAACATTAAATAATTAGGAAACTGAAGAGTAAGTAAAGGTTTAAAAGCTACTTCAATTTCACCTCAACTTACATTTTATTCAATCTTTGAAATAAATTTAAAAGGACAATAAATTCCATTACACATATTACATTAGTTTATTAAGAAATTAGAAACGTGTATACACCAAATTTTAGAGAAAATTTTAAATGAAATATACCCGCTTATTAATACACTGTACAGTGTTTTGAGTTATGTTACTAAAAGTCGTTGGATAAATTTTAATTTAAGAATGAGAATCCTTTGAAGATATATTCTTCTTTTTTAGTCTAACTAAAATTCGAAACGTTGGAATTCAGAAACGTGAATTGAAACGATGGGCTATTAGAAAACCCTTCTGTCCGAACAACCTACTTATCGCTGAACCTCTATCGATTCACGAAGCTGCGCCGATCTTCATGTTCTTATGTATCTCTGTGGTTCTATCGATTCTCATTTGCATCGTTGAAAACATCCTCTTCTGTTTTTCTCCACCACGGTAAATTAGAAATTTAATTTAAAAATGTATCGTACAAAATGTTATAAAATAAGAAATGGTATTAATCATAAAGATTCATACTGTTTTCGTTAATATGACAATTGTTGCAATTCACTATATCGAAATATGCAGTTATTATAAGTCTGTGAGTAGTATAAAGCTATTACAAATTGTCTTTTCTAGAATACCAAGTTTCATGATGGAAAAGAGGCGCCTGATTGATGGGAATTCAAACCTACCATGCTTACAAGGAGTCAATCTACGAACACTGAAGAATTTTAACGTTGTTAACGAATGGGTCCATTTCCACAGACCTTAAATTTCTCCCATAAGAACAATATAATTAATATAATTTTGAATCGATTGATTTGCCAGACGAATAACTATGAAAGACTCTTTATCAATTAGATAACGCACGCGCTACTTTATCGCACTTAATTATTATCAATGTTTTGCACGCACGCCGAATAAAATTTAATAATTATATCTCTGGTCAGGGAATTGTCGTGCTGTGATCATTTGGAAATAAATACGGTTGCATCTCTGCCGAATTAATTACCGATATTCGTTACTGATTTCTCGGGCAAAGCCGCCAGCCTGTTTACGATTATCTTCAATCGTGTAATTAATTTTTAAACCCCCGTGTTCCTGTTCTCTTCCACGCGATACCTTTAATATCCAGCTTATCGTGAAATACATATTTTAGACAGCCTTTGACTGAAAATTTATTAAAACATCGCGCGAAGCGACAGAGATGAATAATAATAACGCAAGCAATAACACGATCGATATACGGGAAATTTAATCGATCGCGAAACTTAGTTTGTTTCCATTGAAACTGTCGTGCATTGGAAACGAGACGTTCGAATGAATGATTGATTAATCGCGCTCTATGGATCTTTTTCGTGACTCGAGTAATTTGCCAAATTGCTGGAAATCGTTTGACAAGCTTGTCTCTTATATCGGAATTCGAAATTATACGTTGTGCATTTGATGCATGAGAATGGAATAAAATGCAATGAAATAATGTAATAGAGAGGAACATGATGTCGAACGTTTTGATGTGACCGGTTTTGGTATCGAGAGAAATTCTTGGTTCAAAAAAGGAATATTATAATGTATCTTGTTTATTTTCTTTTATTGCAATTTCTTTTAATCTCAAAAGCGCAAGATCATGTATTTATTCGAGATTACTTTGTACATAAGAAGGTGCGAAACGTCGTGGGCTTTTCTTGTGGCGATATCGCGGGTGAGTGACATATTCGCGGGATGAATTAAAAATTTTAAATACTTGCTAGACATACACACGAAATATACAAATGTTAGTAATTTTAATGCTTCGAAGTTATTAACCGTAAAATAAATCTGAAAATTCATGGAGAAGCTATTGCAATTAAAATAAGAAATTTGTCCAAGTTTATGCAGCGATGTACGATTTATTGCAGGTGACTTCAATCTTCTGAAAATGTTGAGCACCACAGGCATATTTACGATAATAGGGGAACCCAGCGTGAAGATCAACTTTCGTAGATTTATGAGGAGCGAAGCTTGGACAGTTGGTGTCGTAATCGATTTACGTTGTCATAATGAAACTGCTGCGCGAATTTTTGCAGAGGTAAGGAGAATTTTCATTTTTCATGATCATGAGAATAATCTTTTGATAATTACATTCGTATTTTACGGTAATTTTAATTATGTTTTCTTTTTGTTTAGAGTTCAAAGTATCGAATGTACGATTATTCGTATAATTGGCTAATATTGAATTCGAATTACAATCACAGTATTTCGCTCTTGAATGATACTGCTTACAACATAGTAACGGATGTTGTTCTCGCTATACCGAATAAAAATGGTTATGATCTGTATGATGTTTTTAATCATTGCAAATATCGCGGTGGTGCATTAAATATTACTAAACTTGGTATATGGCATCGTAATTCTGGATTGAAGGTATTTTTAACGCAGCCATTAATTAACAGAAGGGCTAATATGCATGGAATGAGATTGAAAATATCTGGTGTGGTGAGTTCACCTATCGACTTTGGTAAAATTTTGAATTTCTCTCTTTGTAATCAAAATGACATTAATTATATGAATGTTCTTTATCATTGAAAGTTGATAGTGAAACAATATTTATATTGAAATGTGTATCTTTTTATTTATGGCATTATTTTATTACCACTAATTTATTGAAAGAAAATTGACTTTAATTAAAACCATTAATTATATTAAATCGAATTGTATTCTGTTTAGATTCAATACAGGCCAAAAAATATGCGCTTGGAAGATTATATGCAGGATATAAATACGAGATCCTTGGATAGTATGCATAAATTTGTACATGCTATGATTTTGCACACAGGAGATCTTTTTAATTTTAGGTATCATATATTAATTATTCAATTTTCTGTGCTAATAAGCAAGTTTCATTTTCTACTTTTTTTTTCTAGTGTTCATGCTTCAGAAATAATTTACTGGGACAGGCACAGCGTACATGGTTTGATTTTCGAATTCTTACGGTCGAATTACATCGATTTCGCTAGTAATCCGAGAATTATGGTGTCTGAACGATTGGATTATGCTAGTCTTATTGGCGCAGCGTGGCCAATTAAGTAAGAAAATTTACAATATATTAGTCTTATGCGATAAATAAATGATGTTTGGTATTATTATCATATTCAATATAATGATCGTGGTAAATATATTATTGATAATAATACAAACTATAGGAGGTACTATAACAAATTATTCTAAGTACCTTAAATTATTTACAAAAAATTATTTTTGACATCAGAAAGAATTTAAATAATAAGATCAATATTTATAATTTTAACAATTAATATTATTTCACGCGTGATGTGTCAAAAATCCATGAAAATTGCAAGTAAATGAATATTATTTATAACTAAAAGTGTTTATACTTTTATTACATTATTAATTATTTAATTAATATTTAAAAACATATTTTTTCACAATACATTAATTACAAATATTATTATTAAATATAAGAAGTACATATCACTTAAATAATTGAACATTGTGTCTCTAATTAGACCCTGCTTCATGCTGCTATCGACTTCAACGAATAAAATCAAGTTAGAAATCTTCTTGAAGCCCTTCACACGGCAAACGTGGTATGTATTTGTTGCTTTCAGCATATTCTCCATATTCATTATGAAAATAATAATGAACCGAGAGGATCTTGGTAAGAGAGAGAAATATTCCGGTGCAGTGGTATTATCTATAGGAATTGTATCTCAACAAGGTAAACAAAAATCTCTATTAATTGAAATATCTTTTTAAAATCAGATCTCATTGAAATTGTAATTTTTATAGGTGCAAATATCTTGCCAAAACGATTACCAAGCCGTATAGCATTGTTTCAAATAACTATACACAGTTGGATAATGTATAATTATTACTCCGCTAGTATTGTCTCGGCTCGATTAAGCGAACCCCTCGATATGATGGAAGATTCTGTAACTGTTCTTGCTGATAGTAATCTAAAAATTGCTGCAGAAGCTGTACCGTACCTAAATTACTTTCTGTATGTAAGTACTATCTATGATTATTGTTTGTATCGTACACACTGCAGGTGAGAATAAAACTTGACCAACAAGTGAAACATCGAATTAAATTTCTGTATGACAAATCGATGGATGACTTTCTTTCTTATAAAATTCTTGAAGTTTTGAAAAATTATAGAAATCGTAGTTTTAAATTATCCGTGTTATAATACCAGTGGTACTAAATTAATAGAGATTGAACTGGGAGTCGGATTATTTTCGCAAGAAACGTTGGGATCCTCTACCGGAATCAAAAAGGTATCTACCAATAGAAGAAGGTATCAGACAAGTAAGTCAAGGTATTTTAGCGTATCACACGGATCCCAATACAGCGTACCCTTACGTCGAAAGAATGTTTGACTCTAATAAAATCTGCGAATTGACGGAAATACATTTATTTAAACAATCAGTGATGGGAATGTATGCTAGTCACAATGGACAGTTCATTGAAATAGCAAAAATAGGGTGAATAATCAGTGGATCTATTTTTTCTTCCATTTATAATTGCCCCTGTTTGATGTTTTAGAACTTCTTTATTTTTTAAGATTAACAAAGATGTTTAATACTGGACTTCGCGATCGGCAAATCAAACATTGGTCGTCTAGAAAGCCGCAGTGTCAACCTGATACGTTGTCAACAAGAAGCATCACAATCTACGAAACTGCTCCAGCTTTAATTTTATTAACATTTGGAATATTCGTAGCTGGAATTATTTGTATCGTAGAAAATATTGTTTACGATCGTTCGATGAGGTGAGTTATTCTATTTGATATATAGTTATAAATATGAAAAATAAAAATTTACGTATTCTTCACAGGAAAAAGGTTGGAAGTCGAAAAAGAAGAAGTGAATTAAAAGGAAGCTTTAGCAATGACAATAGCAAAGATAATTTATTAGATATAAATCCATAATCTTCATATTTGTTTCTATTTAATAACAGCCTAGATTTCCAATTAACGAATAATTTTAATTAACTTAAAATATTGAATTATATTATTCTTTCTCCTAAAATTATACTAAAAGAAAATAAAATAGCTAGTTATAACTTATGAGTTATATTAATATATAAATAATATTAGTTGACCGAATAGTATATTGAGATAGTTATCGTGAAATATTATTAGACTGTTATGCTATAAAAGAGTTTAGAATCACCAGTACTTCTTTTCTTCAAGAGCCATTATGTCAACGATGACATGTTTCCTCATAAAAAATGGAAGAATGAATAACTGCTGGGAACTGTATCAGGAACTTCCTACATTCAGTCGTTGGATTTACAACCGTGAATAAACGTCAGCAATAGTAAGAGAGATGTATTTACGTAATATTTTTTACTTACAATTAATCGTTATTTCGTACGCAAATAATATAGACATAATTCGCGATTATTTCGTTTCGAAGAATGTTACCAGAGTGGCTGGATTTTCTTGTGGAATACCTGAAGGTGTGTAATCTCTATCCTATGAAACAAATTCCTTAATTTTTAAAAACAAAATGATTTCTATCGAAAATTTTTTATTTTTATTTTGTCATATTATGATACTTTTATTCTAACACAATTACGTAAGCAACAATTTAACAAAAAATTAACATTACGATTCACATGAATATTTTGATACAGGCGATTACCAGCTCTTCAAGCTTCTCAGTGATGCCGGAATTGGAGTAGCTATAAGCCAGTTCAAATCGACACTTAATATATCGCAATTTTTGCACACTAGATATTGCAACTTAGGCATATTTTTGAATCTACAATGTTCGATTGCAGATAAGGATGTTGTGAAAATTTTTTACGAGGTATAATCGCATTATTCATATATTCATGCATGTCATTTACTGGCCGATATACTCTCGATATGAAGATTGATACATGAAAACTATAATTTAGACCTCGACCCATCAGATGTTTGACCATTTGCATCAGTGGTTGATTTTGGGAAAAAGTATGAATCACATTGTCAAATTATTAAACGACAGCGCATTTAGCATCATCACAGATGTTGCGATAGCTGTACCAAGAAATGATGATTATATTCTGTATGATGTGTATAATCATTGCAAAGCTTGTGGAGGCCTATTAAAAATCATAAAACTTGGTTCCTGGTCCAGAGATAATGGATTACATATTATTCTACAAATAGATAAATTCACTAGGAGATGGAACTATCATAGAATGAGGATCAAACTTTCTGGTATTGTAAGTAGTATAAAAACATCCTAAAAATTTCAAAAATTTTCATATTCCAGAAATGAAAAGCTTAAAATGAAATGGAAAACTTACATTATAAGTATGGTTAGCTATTGTATTAATTATCAATCTCATTAACTATTTTTTATAACGATTAAGAAATTTTAAATATTCTCTTTTTTTAATAAAATGAAAACTTAGCTTTATAATGAAAAATATAAATGAAAAATAATAATACGTATTCATTAATATAATTAATAATAGTAATAACATAAATTCATGATACTTTTATGAATAGGTAACAGTTAAACCTGTCAATCAAAGTTTAGTGGAATACCTCCATGAGCGTAATGATATTTATACCGACCATTGGGCGAAATTCGGATTTGCTATCATGGAACGCATTAAAGACATATTCAATTTCACGTAATTTTTTTCAAATATTTCTACAATTTACAATATTGTGATTACCTGTAACATAAATAGTTCATGCACGATATTTTTAGTTACGAAATAACATATTTATCACATTGGGAGGAAAATGATACAAGCGGACCACTTCATAATGCTTTCAAGAATAATATTGCCGACTTGGGGTACTTCCCGTTATCTATAACAATGAACAGACTCGATAATGGAAATGTACTCGTGCAATTTTCTCCTACAAGGTATATAAATTACCCATATTTTTATATACTGTAATACACGTTACATTCTTGACCATTTGTATTATTTGATACATAGTCTAATTATTATGATAAAAAACGACAAATTCTGGTCACAACTTCAAAGCAAACTTTTCACGACCGTGAAGTCATGGGGACTTATTTCTTATAATTTCGAAGTCGAAAAATTTTGCAAATCATAATCCTAAGTCTATGAAATAGATATAACGTTAATTTAAGTCACATTTGATGAAATTTTACGAGTAATTAAAGAAAGAGTTAGATATCTCATATATTAGAGGCGATCTAAAATAAGGGCTCACGAACTCGGTATTATCAGTAGCTTGTTAATAGTATAAAATTCTCATTTATTTATTATAAAAAATTACTAATCATGTTAATCTTAATACTATTTTCTTATTATTTTAAATGATATTTAACTTTTCAAATTTTTTTACAGAACTTGCTTTATGCTTCTTACTATGCCTGCATCAAAAATGGACATGAACGTACTTTTTAGGCCATTCGAAAAAAATGTTTGGTACATGATCATTTTATTAACAGTCATTATACTTCTTGTTTTATGGGTAGCCTTTAAACTTGAAAAGCATGTTGCAAACACTGATTATGATACAACAGGTCTTATTATTGTTGGTGCATTCTGTCAACAAGGTTTGTTAATAAACAATTTATTGCGATTGAATAATATTTATTTATTACATATATGAAATAAATGACTAGCTAATTCATAATAATTAAATTATAATATTTATATAATATTTACAAATTAAATTATCACTGATATAGAATTATATTCGATATTTTGATATTACAGGATTACCATTTGAAAACAATCAATTTTCAAGCCGCGTTGTTTTCCTTCAAACGATGATCTTTGGTTTACTCGTGTATAACTATTATTCAGCAGCAATAGTATCCAGTAGGTTGTATGCACCTTTGGAAAGAATGAATGATTCATTGTTTTCATTAGTGAAAAGTAAAATGAAAGTTGCTTCGCATAAAAGTATCTATTTTAATGCTCTATTGGGTGTAAGTCTTGATTTTATATGTATATAAAATTTTGTTTTAATATATATATAACTTAAAACAAAATTTTCTTTCTATTGCACGCGAAGATTAAAATATTAAATCTGTATGATCGAAAATCATTCTTTAGACTCCTACAAAAGAAGTAAAATTTTTTAAAAAATACTGGGAAACCATACCAGAAGAAGAAAGATTTTATTCAATACCAGAGGGTGTAAAAAAGATTACGGAGTTTGGATTTGCTTACCATGCAGAACCTTACCTAGTTTATCCAGTTATAGAACGTGTTTTTGATAATAAAATGATCTGTCAACTTAGTGAAGTTCATTTGCTTCGGCCTACTGCATTAGCTTTATGGTCATCTCCAAAGAGCAAATTTCACGAAATAACGAAGATTGGGTATGAATTTTATAAAAATAAGGTCACAAAAATGATAAATAATATATATCATGTTTGCTAGATTAGTAATTATATGATTGTAGTCTTATTAGGATATACACTTCGGGGATTCGACAAAGAGAACTGAAACGTTGGACTACCAGACAACCTTATTGTGATAAAGACAAATACTATGTATCAAGCGTGACGATTTATGAAACAACACCAATTATACTTATCTTACTTGTTGGCATTATTTTATCAGTTATTATTTGTTTTGTGGAAAATATAATTTTTCGTACAATACGAAAAAAGCAAGGACAAATAATAGAAACAAATAATACTAACAAAAAATAGAAAGAAATAAACACTGATCCGATAAACGTAATTAGGCAAATGTGGCGGATAAAAGTAAAATTATAGTAAAGATAAAAGTATCCATTTTTAACAAAAAAAGAAATTTTTCAATAATAAAGTTTTATCTTATAAAATAAATAATTTCTATTAATTCTTTATCTTCTTCAAATAAATAAATGTATGATAGAAATTGTAAACTATAAACTTATAATTTCATATCTAATGTATAAATTAATTTTATTAAATAATCTACATGGATTACATTATTTAAACATAAAATAAAACTATCATGTGCTGTTGATGTTATTCCAAAGTGCACATACTGTATTTTGTTATATGAAATCTTGGGAGGTTTTAATGATTTATATATTATACTATTTATTTCTTTTTCTTCGATTTTTTGTCAGTTGGAACTAGTGGTGTTCCAGTGAGATCTGCTAATTGCTTTTTAAATTTCAATAATTTTTCCACTTCAGGTTTCCATACTGATTTCTCTTCGTTAGCTTTTAATTTACGTACAATATCACCCTAAAAAGTAAAAGACGAATTATACAAAAATAACTATAAAATCAAAACTTTGTGATACTGTTAATATATTATTTTATTATACCTGTTTGGCTATAGCTTCTTTTAAAATTTCGATGTCACTTAAAACATCTCCATTTTGTTCAGGTGTTAAAACCACTTGAGGTTTTTTATTTGTTGGTTCGGATGACTTTTCACTTACGAGATTACAAAGCTTTTTCTTTAAATCTGAGAAAATTTGAATTTGATTGGACTGCCAAGCGCATTTATCATGCTTAGCCTTCAGTTCTTCAACTTTCTTGCCCTGGAAGAAAAGAAATACACGATATATGCAATTATTTTTACAATTTTTTACATTATGATATGAAATATTCACTAACCAATTCTGTAACTGCATTGTCCAAAGATTTTATATCTCCATGTTCACCATTATTTGTAGCTTCTTGCTTACCAGCATATTTCTTTCTTAATATTTCTACATCCTTATCTTCTATTTTTTTAAACAAGGGAGATGGTTTACCAATTTTATGACCCGTTGGAAGTATATTCATGATAACGTCAGGGATATAACCGTAACTATTAATGTGCAATCCTAATTGCGATCTTAATTCGCGAGCAGTACTTGGCATAAATGGAGCCAAAAGAGCAGACAAAAGACACGCCAAATTACAGCAAATACCGATGATTGTTCCAGCTCTTTTTCTACAAACAATAAAGAAAAGTAAAGTATTACACAATGTTTAAATAAAAAAACGGTGATGCCACTTAGTTCTACTAAGCAAGTGTTATTCATAAGTTCTGTAACAGACCTGGAACATAATTTAATACATGAAAGTTGATTAACAGTCACAATCAGTTTACAGGACTTATTTTACAGCATAAAATTAAGTCATACAACAGCAATCCACACTGAACAAGAGTACCTAGGAAATAAAGATATTCTAATCTCCAATATAAAAAATTATTTTACAATATGGATTTCCATTTAATGAAATAAAGATAATAGAATAAAATGATTAAAGCATGCAACAAAATTTTAAATGTTTATAAAATTCAAGTGTAAATATTTTAAAAACATAAAGCATTTGTACGAAAATATGTAAAAGTCTACAGTAAATTCATGGGCTGCCTAATATTATAATGTAATCAAAACTAACATGCCACTTACTTATCATTATCAGTTCCTTTGATTTTCACCCAGGGTTCTTGGAATTGCATATACTGATTTCCATGCTTTGAAATTGCTAAAACGTGTTTTATACCATCACGTAATTTGGCTTGCTCTAAAGCATGTATATAAAATGATAATTCACGTTGAGCCAATGCTAGTAATACTAAGTCATCTTCCTGAAGTTCTATTGGTGGTACTTTAGACTCAAAATATCTTTCCGCAAAAACTAGAGCCCTGTTTATTTAAAATAATTCTTAAAAATATAATTAAAAGTACCAATAATCATATTATTTATTATGAAGACGCACACACACACACACACCTATTAACGAAATTTCCAAAATTGTTTAACAACTCGCTATTATTTTTAGTTGCTAAATCTACCCAGTTAAAATTTGAATCTTGAGTTTCAGGTCTAACATATGCAAGGTAAAATCGCCAAACATCAGCTGGTATACCTGTATCTCTAGCATCAGTTCCAAACACTCCAATACCTCGTGATTTAGAAAACTTTGTATCTTCATAATTAAGGTATTCTAGAATCAAATTTAACTAGTAATAATTAATTATTCAGGTAGAAAAATATATAACAATATAACTCCTTCTATATTTAATATGTTGAATTTCTACCTGTTGCCATTAAATGTTTCATTAGTATATAACCTTCATCAACTGCTAATAAACAAGCAGGGAACATAATAGCATGAAATGGAACATTATCCTTTGCCATAAATTGATACAGATTAACTTCTACATCTTTAGGTTTCCACCATTGTTCATATTCTTTTGTGTACCTCTTTGTGATACTGATATAACCAAAAGGTGCATCAAACCAAACGTAAAATACTTTATTTTCAAAACCTTTTACTGGAACAGGTATTCCCCACTTTAAATCTCTAGTTATACATCGTGGTTTAAGTCCATCACGTAACCACGGTTTTGCAACCACTCTTGCAACGTTTGACCACTCTTTTTCCACAACTGAAGACCATTCATTTAACTTGTTTTGTAACTATATAAAAAAATATCTTTTTTAATGAAAATACTATAAATTTATAACAAAATAATGTAATAGACATCACAATAAAATGCTTACCTTAGGCAAATCTAAGAAGAATTGTTCAGACTTTTTTTTTATGGGTCTATTACTACATACTTTACATCGTGGACTTATTAAATCTGTTGCATTCACTAAATGACCGCATCCATCGCATTGATCACCACGTGCATCTTCATATTTACATCTTGGACATGTTCCTTCTACAAATCTATCTGCTAAAAATCTGTCACAGAACTCACAAAGAAGTTGATCTACAGTTTCGCTTAATACGTATCCTTGTGATTTGATTCTTAAGAAAAATGATTGCACAATTCTAAAAAATAATTCATATCAATATAACACAAATAATTCTACCATCTTAATAAAAATCTAGTATATAAAAAACAGTTAATAACTAGTAATATGACCTATAACTTGTAGTTTAAGACAATAAAACCTTAAAAAATTACATTCTATAATGCAGGTAGTACAAGATCCATCTTACTCTGTTTGTTCAGGTGTAGTAGTACGACCAAAATGATCAAACCCTATGCTAAACCATCGATAGATATCATTATGTATATCAAAAAATTTATCACAAATAGCTTGAGGCGTCGTTTTTTCTTCCAAAGCTTTGGCTTCTGTTGCAGTGCCATATTCATCGGTACCACTAAAAGTTTTATTGACGTTTAAAAATGAATATTATTATTATTAATATTATTAACACTAATGTAGAGTACATACCTAATAAACAGGGTATTATAATTTCTTTGTCTACAATATCTACAAACAAACAATATATTTTGAAATAAATATTTAATATTAATGCAACTCATATATATTATAATACTAACCTAGCAAAAATATCTGCAGAAAGGACACAACCAATAATATTTCCTAAATGAGGAACGTTGTTAACATAAGGCAATGCTGATGTTATTAAAATATTTTTTTCTCCTTTCTTTGGTAATCTAACAATCATATATAAATTTGTATGAATTGCATACTGATGTACTTAATCATTTGTTAAAACCATTCAAACTTACACAGGATAAGGAAAACTTTTTGCATCAGGATATGAATTAGAAGACCAATTACTTGAAATATTTTGTATTTCTTCTTGACTAACTGTTTCTGCTTCTTTTTCCTTAGTTGGACTAAGCTGAAGGTAATGAATTATATTGAATATTACAAAATGTGAAATTAATAATTATCATAGTAAACTTACATCAGTTAGTTTAGAACGTTGAAAATTTGGAATAATATTATTAATAGGAAACCAAGATACAGCTTGAATACTGAAAATTGCTTTTAAGCCTCTTTCAAATTTGTATTCTTTGATGGCATCCTAAAATAATTAAATATGTAATTGTAATATATAATAACATATACTAATTGAAAACCTAATATTAACAGGCACTTAATAACATAAATTGTTTTATAATATTTATAACATAAGGCCTTTTTACCTGAATAACTGGAAGTATTTCAATATTGGATAACCAATCTTTAATAGATAAATATTCTTTACATAATTCATTTCCAATTTCTGTAACTAATATAGTAGACCACAGAGTTACCCAAATACATACATCTGCCAATGACAAGTCATCCTAAAATGATTTGAATAAAATATGAATTTTAATACAATAATTTGATTGATATTACATTAAAAGTATTAATACTCTTCTCATAAATTACCTTAATTAAGTACTTTGAGTCTTTTAATTCATTATTAAGTTTTTCTAATAAAGACCATAAACATGACTTCTGTGTGGTTTTATAAATTCCTGTACTACCATAAAATGCTATTGCTGGCTGCAAAATATATAAATTATAATTTTTTTATTAATTGAATTTATTATAAATAAGTCATAAATAAACACCCATAACCAATTTCTAAATTTTTACCTGTAATTGAGATATCTCCCATTCTAGCCATTTATTATTAATAAATGTTAACTCTTCAGATGAAGGTGCTATGAGTTGCATTGCTGCATTAGTACTAAATAGTACTAATCCAGATGACAGTTCAATAGAAGGTAAACGGCCCAAAAAGCTTACTATGTATAGAATATAAAAACTCATTTTATAATCAAAAAATTTGTGAAGTAAAAATGCAATTTCTTGTCATGTTAATGATTATCGAATTAAATTTTGGTAAAAATAATATATGTACTGTAATATTGAATATATTATCTTCATTAGAAGCTACTATGTTTTATCATTCTAATTTGAAGGATTACCAGGTAATGAGATTTAAAATATGAATAATATAATATATGTGTATTTGTTAAACATTATTGACTAAAAATAGAAAATCAATTAAAAAATCATAAAAAATTAATGCATTTAAAAAATATAAAAATAAAGTGAAAGAGATATATGATATTTCATCATTTGTTCAAAAAACATTATTTGAAAAAGAAAAATTACATTTCTTACCTTTTGCTTGTACCGTTTTTATGTTAACAGATTGTTGAGTTAGTTTAGCTGCGATTACTAATTTTAATGTATTTGGATTGCCTTCGTTCGTTGAAATGTTCATTTTTACTAATAAATTAATAAATATTCACAATAAATAGATGAAAATATTTTCAGCACACAACCGACACATGTGAGCGACAAGTAAATGCGGTCTGGAAACAGATACCATGACAGTTTCACAGTATATTGCCAATCTATTTGGAATCTATTAACCTCAAAAGTGTTAAAGTATCTTGTAATTCATGTTATTTACTTAATATCATTCATTACATTGTTTTGAATTATAAAGGAACAGATCATGTAAAGAGCAATCATTTATTTGATTAATATAAGATGATATGGAATTTAATAAACACTGAATGACAGTTGGTAATACTGAAAATTGTTCCATTTATAAAAATTTCAACTGCAATGTTTATACTCATTATAACAATCAACTGCGAATGAAATCTATAAATTTAGGCATTTTTACTTATTTTTTACCAATTTTATCATAAACTGTTTTTCTTTTGACACGATACTTAATAAATATTTTTATAGACATAAATGTACCGGGAACTAGTGTCCTCTAGTGTGAATTTTGTACATTATTACGAAGAATTTAATTTTGTGATTATTACTATTTAAATTGTATGACAATTTTTATTTATTTTTGATATTATTTAATGTAAAATTTTGTATGATTGAAAATGAAAATTTGGCTTATATGACGTGTCTTAAAACAATTTAATACATTATAATTTTATTTTTTCGGGGAATACCCGTATATTATTTTAACGAGATATTTTTTATATATATTAGAATTTTTAAAAAATGTTTGTTTTATTAATTTGGGTTTTTATAAATCGCATATTATTATCATCTTGTGCAGAAAATATTGTGTTAATCGTAGCTGACGATTTGGATATATTTCTTGACGGCATGGTAAATATGTGGAAAAAAAGAATATATTATGAAATGAACGACGAAAAAGTTAATTAACTATTATTTTTAGACACCGATGAAAAAGACATTGGATTTAATTGGAAGCAAAGGTGTAACATTTTCAAATTGTGTAAGTTAGAAATTTAATTTTATAGTAAATAGCTATTAATTATAATTATATTTAAATAAATTTTTTTTTATAATTAGTTTGTTGCTTCGCCTATTTGTTGTCCAAATAGAGCATCAATTTTAACTGGAAGATATCAACATAATCATTTAGTGGTGAATAACTCAGTTAGTGGAGGATGTAATAGTATTCAATGGGAAAAAATACAAGAACCAAATACATTTGCTGCATATTTGAAGAGGGAAATGCTTTATAAAACATTTTATGCTGGAAAATATTTAAATCAAGTATAGATATATAAAATATAAAAAATTATAATTATTCTCTTCATAAGAAATAAAATTTAATCAAAAATTTTATATAGTATGGCTCCAAAATAGTTGACAGACATACACGTGTTCCAATAGGATGGGATTGGTGGATTGGACTCATTGGAAATTCCAAATATTATAATTATTCTTTGTCTATAAATGGAACTGTAAAAAAATATGGTAATAGTTCAACTGATTATCTTACAGATGTAATAGTAAGTATAAAAAAATAGTATATTTATCATTTCATTATTGTGTATTTAAAACTATATTTTTTAGAATAATATGGCAATAGATTTTATTAAGGCCCAAAATTCAAATAATCAACCATTTCTTATGGTTTTGGCACCACCTGGCCCTCATGCACCTTTTATACCAGCAGCGAGGCATATAGATACATTTAAAAATGTTACAGCTAAAAGAACACCTAATTTCAATGCACAGATGGAAATGGTAGAGGTATTTGTCATGAATATTGACATTATTATATTATATTATTAATATACATTATTCAATAGAATAAGCATTGGTTAGTACAAAGAGGACCATTTCCACTTCCTGACAATTTGTTACCTAAATTAGATGAAATCTATAGGAGGAGGTGGGAAACATTGCTAGCTATAGATGAACTTGTTGAAAATGTATATCAAGCTTTAAAACTACAAAATCTTTTAAATAGTACTTATATTATATTTACATCTGATAATGGATATCATATTGGTAATATATTTTATGTTTACACAAATTTTTATATAATTTAGATTAGAATTAAAAAATATATATAAATCAATTTAATTGCATACTGTTTTATAGGACAGTTTAGTATGCCAATAGATAAACGTCAACCATATGAAACAGATATTAGAGTCCCATTATTGATACGAGGTCCTGGAATTATACCATCAAAAATTAGTGCACCTGTTAGCAGTGTTGATTTATTTGCAACAATTTTAGAAATAGCTGGTATACAACATTCATCAGATGGAACTTCTGTCTTAAGAAAGAGATTGTCAAAAGATAGAACTCTTTTAATAGAGTATAGAGGAGAAAAATCTAAACATTTACCATCATCAGGTTGTCCAGATGACTATGATCCAAATCTGACAGTATGTATCAGAGTTATAGAAACAATTGTATACAGAATATTTAACTTAAATTTGATTCTTTTGAAATTTCTAACTTTCACAGTTATGTATGAAAGATATGGCATGCAAATGTCAAGATGCTGCAAATAATACTTTTAGTTGCATACGACGTATATCACCAGAGTTTAATAATATCTTTTGTATTTTTCAAGACAATAAGGTATTAATAATATGTTAGAAAATATTATGGATCAATAAAATAATCTTTCATGATATTTATTATTTTTTTCATAGCATTACATTGAAGCATACAATATAACTACAGATAAATATCAAATGGAAAATATTGGATATAGCATGAAGCGTCATCATAGATATAAATTGAAAAAAAGTCTTAAAAAAATGAGTATTTGTAGAAATGAAGAATGTATTGTTACAAATATGGAAAATGTATATAACTAAGTCTTAATGTATTGCATGCCTCATAAATTAGTATTACTTATTTTGAAAAATATATTTTAAACTGGTAAGTAAGTAAGTTGTGAAGTGATTGTTATAGAATCATGTATAAATCGAATATAAAATAAATCAAAATAGTATATTACAGTTCAACTTGTTATTTATTATTTTATGTTTTTTATATGTATAAAGATATGAAGATATGAATCATTGAAAGTTAGAAACGCCGACGGCCGTCTTACTTCGAATTACTGCATTTATGGAAATCGTAAACGAAGAGTACGCCGCGAATCTGGATATAAGAATAACTCGTCTTGCTTCCTGGGTACCTCGGGCAAACTGTTTTCTTAGCAAATATTTTTATTAAAGCCCCACGGTTCGAATATCTGAATAGCAATCGCGCTATTCGGGGGTGGAGAAAAAGAAAACCGAAGGAAGACAGAAAGCAGAAATACGCTTCTACCATATCCATAAATTTAATCTATTAAAACGTTTTGAATCGTTAAAGGATTTATGAAATAATAAAATACTAAAATTATTTAGTAAAGAGATTGTATCAACATAAATAGATATTTTATAATTTTTTATATTTTACATTTTAACGAATCAAATTTTATAATTTATTTATTTTTCAGCAAAACGTATATATTAGTTAAAAAATGTTTACATTTATACGCATTAAATTCTTCTGATTCCAAATGACGAAGGAAACTACAAAGTACTCAGATTTGTTACTTTCAATGTTGAGCACCGTAAAAGATCTTTTCATATTGCATAAGAGAACGTCGAAATGTTTATACACAACGTTAATCGCTTTATAGGCCGTTTAATCGTTTGCACAGATGGTATTTCAAAGTAATATGATATACATAAAATTTCAGAAAAATTAACATAAACTGAAAATGTACCTGCACTAAGAATCTACTATGTATTTACATTTTCTTTCTTGTAATTAATTATATGCATAAACTTTTGTCAATAATAAGGTAAGTTGAAAAACTATCATTCTATAAAATAACCAGGATATATAAATCAATAACAAAAGAAATATTGTATTACAAATGGATATTAGTAATGTAAAATTTTCAACCAGAAAAATTTATGAATCGAATTATGCTATAATGCATTTTACTTGATAAGAAGCACAGCTAAAAATGCAGCATTGAAAAAGAAAATTTGCGGGTGTTTCGGTAAACAGCATGAATCCTGGTTCGATCGATCGGATGGAGGATTAACAGACCTCAGCTCGAACTGTGAAGTCGTTACATCGTCACTGAAACGTGTAAGTCGGCTTGCGAAAAGTCCTTTTTTTCTCTCTCTTCATTGATCACTAGAGCGAGTGATCGTTTCCTTGTGCACTGGGATCAATGGCTTTCGCTGGCTTCCGAGTTTTGGATTCTAGCTTTCCTGCTCCTCGAAGATCTCGGTTCTGTTTAATTTTTAACAACTTATACTGTTCAAACAAGTCATAAGGTATGATAAGTTAATATAATATTTATAACATTCTATGTTGTTTATGTATTATATTGTTAAACTATTGGTTACTAATAGAGAAAGTGTTAAATAAACTTTATTTGAAGTATAAAGCGTTTATGTGCGTATTGTTAATAATAGATAGGAACAGATTATAAATTTATTGAGAACTATTATTTTTCTATCCGTTATTCTTTTTATTCTCATAATAAACACTAACATGGAAAATGTAAATTTGCACAAATACTTTACCGAATTGGAAAATAATGAGTTACCTACATTATGAAAGTTTGTCTGTGCAATTCTGTGGAATTTTCATAAAGATTCGCGAATTAAATTCCATATGCTTGAAAGATTATATTAGTTCGATATAAATCATATTCTGTTAAATTAATTTATTGCCTCAAAAATGTACGATTAATGTATAGGTTAGTAACATATCTTATAATACTTAACCAAGAAACGTACTTGAGTAAAGTAGTTAAAGATTATAATTAAAAAAATAAGTGAGAAAAGAATAAAATGATATTATATTTTTACAATGTGCAACAATAACTTTAACTATAAAAAGGAAGCAATGCAGAAAGAGGAGTGTCGGTATCCCTAATTGAAGATAATTTCAATAGTATCGAATTTCACGACCGATAATAATAAAAGCGCAGGGCTCGCATTACGGAACCGCTTATCCGGACAACAGAAGTCAAATCAAACACGAAGCTATTAACTAGGTCAACATTTCGGGTTTGGGGTACTTAGTCCCGACTACTTGGTACCTTCGTCAGTGAGCTGTACGTCGTGTATACGTATTTGCACGTACACGAAGCACAAATTCCATAGTGAACAAGAGCAAAGCAGCCGTGTCGGACGGTCTTAAATAAATATCTAATGTGTAGGGGTCGCGCGGGCTCTCGTTGCCCCCACCAATATTGTTTTAGGCACGGCCCTTAGCTAGCGAAGTTTTGTAACTCTAGAAACGAGCGCCACTCGTGCCTATAACGAACAAGATACCAATAGGTGTCGGAAGATCCAGTTGAGTACTTATGTTCTCGAGATATCCTGTCCACACTTTTGTTCCTATATCCTACAACGTAACATCAATCGTTTTGTGAATTTTGCAGCTGCCGATTTCTCTATTCCAACAAAGGTACATATCTATGCTTCCTGCTATGATTCTATTTTAAAGGTTTTTCAGTTCATATTATTTTCGTTCAGAGCCACCTCGATATTTTGTTGAAATAATTAAATGTAAGCAACAAATATAATTAAAATATTTTGGAAAAATGATAAAAAAATGTATCAAAATATTGTTTCAGTGACACATGCTATGTTCGATAATTCTGCCATGTTGAAAAATTACTAGCGATACAAATCTATGTATGTATACGCCTATAATGAAATGGAAATAGAAATTGGAATTAATTGAATAATGTAATTTTATGAAAATTTATGTACGTATATATACCCATCTAAATTCATAACATATCTATCTTCGAAATAATACAAACTTACTACACTCAATCGAAGTATCACATAACATATCGAAATATTACAAATTAATAGCACCGACGTTTTTTTTACCTATTTAAATAGCTTGAAATCTTTATTAGTCATTTTATCTTAGATTGTTTGATACTACAATATTATAAGTTATTAAACATTAATAATCCTTGCCATTGCTAAATATTTCTTCAACAATATTCAGCCAGAAAAATCTCATTGTGAATATTCTTTCAGGTACTCATCATGGAAATGAGACACTTCTTAATAAATACTACGTATACCGATTCTGACTTCTGCCGTTCTTCGTTTCGTCCGATGTTAGGTTTGCTTCTACCGATATTTGTCACAGAGATAATTAATTGGTAGCAAAAAGTTCTACCACTTGTTCGCTTTTTCCCTCGCTTTTGTTAACCGTAGCTCTCCTCTTCGCTATACCGACTCATAGCTGCGCTCAGTCGGCTGCTCTTTTACTCTTGCAACCCTTATTACCGTGTCGCAGCTCGGTTAACGCGAGAGGGTTAATGAAAAGCTCGAGCAAATATAGAATTTCTCGTAAAAACTACAAATTACTGCTGTGTCGGGTGCATAGCTGCGTGCAACGTACTTCGTCCTCGTACTCCTTTCTTTCTTTCCCTTCCTCCATCCGTTTCTCTTTTTTTCTCGCCAGTGAAATTATACAACGGCATAATACGTGAAAATAGAAAATAATAAAATGTTTCTGGACGTACTTCGAAGATCGCGTCGGGATTTTATGACGGAGAATTCACGAGATCGCGTGCGAGATGAAAACGCGATTCGAATATGTACGCGTTTCACCGGTTTTTCCCAGCCGTTTAAAAGGCCAAAATGAACGTACCCGTAAAGTTTTTAATTTCGCAAGAACCGTGCTAGCTCTACCGTAAATGTTCAGTAAAAAACAAACGAATGCGAAAAAGAAAGATAAGAACGATCAAACTACCAAAGATGGATATTACTATGGGTATATTTTTCCTTGTTATAATTAATACTGCAATCTGTTGTTAAATTTTGCTGATTTTCGACACTCACACAGAACGATTATGTTTAATGAATAACGATAAAATTATTTTGATGAATTAAAACGATTAATGATTTTAAATGAAAAGAATTTATTCTGAATGTATTAGCAGTATTCTTTTCAATTAAAATTACATAACGTTGCTATGTATGATAACAACTTTGTTAATGCATAATTTGTACCATGTTAATGTATAATTTATTTACTTTTGCTTTTACATTATAGTTGTTTGGTGTTTCTGTAATTACTACTGAAAGCTCTATACCTTCTTCAATTTCTATAATTCTTATCTTTGAGGTGATGTATATAAAAGGTATACAAAGGTATGCACAGGTAAATTAGAACTTTCAAATTTGAAAAACATGAAAAGTCTTTATTTGTAATGTATTTTAATTGACGGTTAGAAGCTTCTAAACATATTTTATTTTACAGAATTAGGAGAAACAAGCTTGAACATCAGTATTCGGTGGAGATATATCTTTAATACTAAAGAGATATAGAAGATATTAAGATAACTCATTTCCAATGAACCGCTAATCGAAACGAATTACGAGTACTAAAGCATCGTCTCGTTCTACTATTTCAATCTCCCTTTGGTCGATTTCTCTTTACCGGGTATTCTACGTTCAAAGAGCGTACCGCATGATTCAAGACGCAAACGCGATGAATTTACGGCTGGGCGTATAAGCAGCGGAGTAAAGGCAGCACGCGAGCAACTATACCGTTGCCGGGTTATCTCGCATTATATTATTACACTCGGGGCCCGTGTTTGTCAGTTTAAAACCAGGAGCCATTAGCAGGTATTATTTTAGCCGTGATCCACCGTTAGCGAGAACAATGGCGTCACTACGGGTTACGTCCCACGATATTAAATGAGGCGAAGTGATACATTTCGAGGGGATAGTCGAGCAAATAGGGATGATGCGGCGATGGCACCGGGGACAGGGGGAGTATGAGAGAGCGAGAAGGACAGAGAGAGGGAGTTGATAGAGAA